TATGGGTGCTGGGAATCTAATCTAAGTCCTCTGCAAGAGCAACAAGTGCTGTTAACCACTGAGCCATCTGACGCCCAATTATTTTCTTAATATTTTTTGAGACAGGGCTTCTCTATTTAAATAGACCTGGCTGTCCTGAAATTCACTCTGTAGACCAGGCTGGCCTTGAACTCAGAGAGATCCACCTGCTTCTCCCTCCCTGAGTTCTGGAATTAAAGGTGTGCACCACCACCATCCAGCTCCTTAGTATTTTTTAATGGTTAGATGTTTTACATTGTTCTAAAGTCCAACTATTTTATTTTTATAGTATTATGTAAGAACTCTTTCAAAATCAAAGTTGCACGTATGTTTTGTTCTAGAAGCCTACAGACTGAACTTCTGTATTTAGGTCTATGATCCATATTGAATTATATTTTGTGGACTTTGCTTCTGTGTGTTCCTTTCATTGTAGCTGTTAATGACATTTGGAGAAAGTACTTCACTTCCCCAGGAAGGTGATATTAGTTCCCTTATTGACAATCAGTACCTACATGCGTGCCAGTCAAATTTTGATTCCCTTATATTCATTAATCTATTTGTCTTATAATGACAGCACCCTGTCTTGGTTATCATGGTTTTAAGGAATATCTAAAGATTAAATTAGACCATGTGAATCCTCCAACATTGTTCCTCTCTTTTCAAGTCTTTTGGAGAGTAGCTTCATGATACAGTCTCAGACTCTACTCTGCAGCCTAGGCTGACCTTGAACTCACGGCCCTCCTGTGTTAGTCTCTGCAGTGTGTGACATTAGGGCTGCCTGTATACATACACACAGCCATCACCTTTTAAAAATATCTGCTGCATATTTTGCTGGTATTGTATTAACTCTCTAAATAATTTTTACAGTTTCTAAACAAAATTTGTTTTAATTTAAAGAATTAGGTAAGTAAGAACTGGGTTAATTTCTTATCAATACTGAGCTCTGTCTTGATCTAAGTGCAGCTCTGAGCAGGTTGTTAAACCTCAATCAGTCAAATAAACCAGGTGACCTTAGCAAACATACACTCTCGGAGATATTTTGCACGGAGCTTCAAATTCTTCCATGTTAGAAAAACAAGCAAGTGTGAAAATGTGAAATAATAAGAGAAATAGGAGTGCCTATTTCTCAGATGGTAACAAGTCCAGGGAGGATTTAAGGGTTCATAGCATTTTCCACACCCTCTAGGACATCATCCTCATTTGGGGGATAAAGAGGAGTTAGAGGCTCATACAGTGACCCCGCAGCAGACTGTCTCTCTAGATGCTGCCTGTACTCTCAGGCACCTGCCCTACAGCTCCCAGATGTGAGCACTCAGAGCCCCTCATGGTCGTATTTGAAGATCACTAGTTCTGCTCTTGGCTTTGTTCTGAGAACAGGTTCTGGGGTGAGTAAAGTACGGTCCTCACTCCTCCAGATCCACAGAAATGACTTTGGGTTATGACAATACTGCCTGTAAATCAGTTTTATTCTCAGAATATCACCAGAATCGGTCAATTGGGGGTTATCAAAATTTCTGATTTCCTTTACACCAAGGTTTTGGACTGGAAGCAGGGTGCTATTTCTGTACTGGGTTTTATTTTCAAAGATCTGAAGTCCTAGGAATAAATGAATAAATGATTAACGAGTAGTTACTTCTGCAACAAACCTGGGAATTTCTAGATTTTCACCATAATCAATGTCTCACAAAGGGATAGATTCATGGCATGTTTCAGCTTTGTTTTCCTGGTTTTTCCAGACAAGGTTTCTCTGTAGCTTTGGAGCCTGCCCTGGAACTAGCTCTTGTGGACCAGGCTGACCTTGAACGCAGAGATCCGGCTGGGTGTGCGCCACCACCACCCCCCAGCTCACATTTCAGCCTTTAAAGTTAAAACATTTTATGAAGCATGGATTTCTTCATATAACAGTATTAAAGATAGCATGGGAGCTGGATAGAGAGAGGTTAGCAGCTAAGACCACAGTTCGGTTCTCAGCATCCATGGCAGGTGGCTCACAATTGCCTGTAACTCCAACTCCAGGGATCTGATGGCTTCTACTGGACTCCATGAGTACTGGTACACATATACAGAGACAGACGACAGACAGACAGACAGACACAGCTAGTGCAGTTGATACTGTCAACCTGACAGGGCCTAGAATTTCATAGGAGCCAAATCCCCAGACAAAGCTCTGAGGCAGTGTCTAGTGAGGTTGAACTAGAAGGGCCCACCCTAAATGTGAGTGATGTCTTTCCATGAACACGGGGCTCAGACGGAAAAGGAGAAGCAGTCTCATCACCAGCATTCATCACTGAGACTAGCTCCCTTACGCCCCCGAAGCTATGCCGTCCTTACCACAAAGGACTGCATTCCCTCAAACTGTGAACCAAAATACACCCTTCAATAGCTTTTGTCGGGTATTTCATCAGAGCAACACAAAGTGACTAAAACGAACACAATACAGGCTCTCTAATGAGCTGACTCTTTCCTGCTGTCTTTACACACTCATTTCCTGCTGGGACTCTGAGAAGAGGCCCTGCCATGCCATGAGTGACTGAGGGCCTGGACTCTGAAGAGCTGCTGTGGCCTCTTGCTTCCTCCCTATTCTAGCGCCCCCTAGTGTTCCCAGCCCGATTGAACGGCAGTCCCTCTCAATGCTCCACATTGTGGAGGTTGAGGAGGTTGGGGAGGCTGAGCGCCCAGGACTCTTTCTTCGATTTGCGTGTGTATGTGTGTGTGTGTGTGTGTGTGTGTGTGTGTGTGTGTGTTCATGCACATGCCTGTGAGGGGCCAGAAGAGGGCGTTGGTTTCCTCTGAAGCTTTACATGATGAAAAGAACTTCTGGCCTCCGCAAAAATGGCAGGCACTCTGGACCACTCCAACACCTCCCCCACCTCCCCCACGATGTCTTTTGTTTGCTTTTAGGATACAACAAAATGTTTTAATCTTCCAAAATCATGAGTAGATAAAGAGTATAATCCATCATGTCACCAGTGGTTTTCAAAAATTTGTTTCTTTTTGCGTGTGTGTGTGTGTGTATGTGTGTGCGTGTGCATGTGCGTGTGTGTGTGTGTGTGTGTGTGTGTGTGTGTCTGAAACTCATCAAGGCAAAACAAAATGTAGACCTTGAGAGATTCAGATTGCGCATCCACTGGCTGCTTGGTGGATTCTCTCGACAACTGGAGCTTATTCATGCTCACTTGGTGTGTGTCCTCTATTACAGCAGAAACGTCTTCTCCATCATAAGAGCCACTCCGCTCATGATAGAAGAGGTTAGACCTCGGTTGTTTGGTTGTCTGTCTATCTGCAGCTATTGGCTATCTTTTATTTTTATGCAGACTTAGAGAGTCCACACAGTAATCCTGACAAGGGCTATCATAATTTATGCCCGTGAACTGTAATTGGTCCACTCGTTACCCCAGAGAATTTAGATTCTCAGTTTGAGAACTGACATCCCACATCTCATTGTGATGTTTTCGAGGTGGGGAAGGGGAGGATTCTGCCCAGATTCACTACTTAAGAAGGTCAGGGGAGATGGCCTGAGACTGAATTAATACAGCCTGGTTTTGTTCTTGAAACATTACGAGGTTTTGTCAATGACTTTTTAGCCGTGATGCGGTGTTCTGAAGATGCCCCTGTCTCCCTGATGGACCAAGCTCCTTAACCCATCCCCTGTGTATTAATACCAGCTCCACTTCATTTGTGGACACCGCACAAAATTTTATTTGAACAATCATTTTTATGACTAAATAAAGCTTATAAACCATCTTCTGTCATCAGAAATTCCAGTTCTTTCCCCATGATGATATTGCTGAGTGCTGATATACCTTATGTAACAAGATGTGTGTGTGTGTGTGAGCAACTTAAATTATAATTTATGCCTTAAGGATTAAATCAAAGCATACTTTTAACTTCACTTATCCCATCCAACAACTAAATAATTGCTGAGCTATTTGCTGGGTAGAACCATGCTCTTAAACCTCAACTGGTCGGGGAAATCACAGAAAAATCTGGTTTTGATGTTAAGATAAATGTTCCTAGGAACCTTTTCTACTGACAAGGGGGTAGGAAGGAATGTTGCAACTAGAATTCCTACAGGAGATCTCTTCAAAGGAGGGACTTGGCTCTGATGTTGACTGCTGGACCAAGTAACTTCAGACAGTCTCTTGGTGAGGAATCCAACAGAGGTATTACTCACAGTAGATTTGGGACAGGAGTGGATCTGAGCATGGAACAAGAGAGCTTTTTCTTTTCTTTCTTCTCTCTCTCTCTCTCTCTCTCTCTCTCTCTCTATCTCTCTCCCTAAAGACAATAATATTCCCCTAAATGTATTTAATACTCTTTCCTTCACCAAAGCCTCAGTGACAGTGGGAATATTAAACAATGTGGGATCTGGAGATCTCACACCCTAAGAACTGAAGTAGTATTTCTACAACGCACACATGTTCTGAAAGCTGCTGATGCCCCCTACCAAAGAAGCCTGAGGGGAATGTCTAACACCCTCAATCAGTTAGCAAGCTCCTGAAAGGCATGGACACCCTGCAAAACAAAGGACAACTTGCTTCATTCATGTGAGATTTTCATTTGAAAAATGGCTGCTATGGTTATTTCCCTCTGATGATGGCTATTGGGATCAAATGTGATGACGCTGAGGAAAACATTTAGTGAGAGATAAAGTCTGTCGCTCATGCTTTGGTCCCAGGGACTCCTTCTACCCTCAACTTCAACCTGCCTGGTCAGCTTCCACTGGATTCTAGTTTGGGATTCTGGGGACATGGATGTGCAGCCACAGACTGACTACTCGAGAGATCTGTCCTCAACTGAGCTATTAGGAAAACACATTTGTGCTGAAAAAGACAGAGCAATGTATTTTTCATGACCAAGGTTAAAATCATATTTTAGGTTATTATATACTTAAGGACCTGGAAATTAATTGGTACCATCTAAAATGCAGGGAAGTGCAAGAGATTAATCTGGCAAATGGTTTCCATAAAACAAAAAAGCCATTCAGTTTCCCAAATTTATTTTGTATCCTGAGGTTTTTAAATGTCAGAGTTCTTCCCAGCTGTCTTCTATAGCCCTAGGTTGGGAGAATATCAGCATCTATGTGGACACAGTGCTCAGCTTGGTGGAGTGTTAACTCTTTCCTTCCCATTTCATAGGTGTTGAGCGCAGTCACTGTTTCGGAATGCTGAGTTTGTAGATTGTAAAGGCAGAGCCTTTGGTGACACTATTTCACACAGGGCAGTAAAGGTCTCTGAGGCCATCCTACCAAGTCCATGGTCAAGTTTCTAAATTCTTAGCAATTACTAAGGCCTTCTATCAACGATGCAATGAACCAGGCTGTAGAGAAAGGTGCCCCAGGGGGACTGCCAGTGATAATCTGGGGAGGGGTGACTTGTGGAGTTTTTTATTACTGCCTCTGCAATGGTTTGTCCCAAATGGCTAGAGAAAAGTGGGTCGATTTCCCCCACCCCACCCTCAATTCTCACCAAAGCATACCACATGGATGCCATCTTTTCTGAAGTGAGAACCAAATAAATAGTAAATCTAGACCCGGTCACACCACTACATGCTGTCGCTGAGTTCATATTTCTCTAGCTTGCTCCCAGATGGCTCTGCCTTCACTTCTGAGTCGGGGTCTGAGTGATGAAGCTGGATAAGAAGAATGTAGAAGAGGCCTCCGAAGAAAGCGCCCACCATCGGGCCCACAACAGGAATCCACCAGAAGTTGTTGCCAGCTCTGAAAGCAAACAGGAAGTCAGTGAGATACTTCTTGGTCACCCTGCTATCTCTAACCTTGTTATTTACAAGTGACTCTTTCTGTGTCCATACTGTATAAGCACATTCACTAGAGAACGACCATTACCATCCTGGACACTGCAGCATACCTGATATCAGTGTCCTAATGATCCCACTGAATGATTGCACCCTATTTATTTTCCTTTTAGAAAGCATGGTGCTTGGGCAAGTACGATGGTTTAGTGGGTAAAGGTGCTTGCGGCCCAGCCTGATACCCTGGGTTTGATCCCCAGGACTCACATGTTGGAAGGAGAGAGACAATTCTTACAAGTTGTCTTATGGCCTCCATGTGTACATGGTGGTGTGTGCCTACCACCCATCCTATACACCCCCCATTAAAATGTAACAAATAAAAAATATATGTCTCCATGAATCCATGGCCCAAACTGAGGGCCTCTAGAGAGGCTATTCAGTAATTGTCTTTCCTATATTGTCAGACAGTGAAGCTTGGTGGTTGTGAATGAAACCAACACAAGAGGTGCTCAGAATGTGGCTAGATTCCGGGACTCCCAGTTACTGCTGGCAAACTCCTAGAGATTAAAGAAAGTCTAAGGCAGTGTGTGAGCTACCCGCTAAACTGTCTGACCAATATCATCAGAACCAGTGCTTATTTCTGGAGGCCCAGCCCACACACGCACTCCGCAGGGCTTCGTCCTGCAAGGCTCTTGTACCACCATTCCCCTTTCCTCTGCAGAAACACCCAGGGTCTGTACACTCCAGAAAAGGCACGGTCCAGGAGACAGTAGGTCACTTTGTGAGGTTGGTTTATTTATTAAGTGGCTTCATAGGAACGACTTCTATGACTGCTTAGGCAAAGTGAAGCCCAAAACATATCATTTAAAGATGTAGACAGTTGAGGAAAACTATTTCTAAAAAAAATGACAAATGTTCAGAATGATCCAGGGAAAGCAGGCGACCAGGAGGATAGACAGGTGCCTGCGAGGATTTCCCTGTACTCTGACTAGATTCTGGCCTTCTCTTGTGAACAGGAAAAGGTTTGGAGAGCATCGCAGCAGGAAAGCCCTTGTTCAGCATGCATGCACAAGACTTTGGGTTTCATCCCCCAAAGCCATAAGAAACCAAAAACCTTCCTGCCTGGCGTAATGGAGAGCATGTGGATTCTAGAAGAATCCAAGCCTACTCTTTGCATGATTATGCTTGATAGCCACAGACTGATCCTTGTGGCCTTTTGTTTAGAGCATATTTCGTCTGAGATAAGAGTCTAACTCTGTAGTCCAGGGTGGCCTGGAACTCATTATGTAGGCCAGGCTTCCCTTAAATGTTCATGGACTCACCTGCCTCGGCCTCCTTAGTGCTGGGGTTACAGCCTTCACACCTGTCTTGTGTACAGCAGATTTGGATCAGAGAGGACAAAAGCAGAAAACAAGAGCTCTGTCCTGGACTCCGGAAGACCTGGTCTCAAGCCTAGGGCTGTCTGGAATGTCTCTGAGGAGGTACTCCCCCTGTGAGCTTCAGTTCCTTCATGCACAGAGAGGGTGCAGGGAGGGACATGGGTTGGACGGGAGAGAACTGAGACTCAACACGGCCGCCACCAGATGTCACTGTTACTTTGTGCAAGAGGTTGCTGAACCTGCCCTCTCAATATCCTTTCCGACACCAAATTTGGATGCACCCTGCTGCAAGGGGCTGGCAAAGGTGGCTGTTTTTGTCTCTGGTTTAAAACCCTTCCTGGAAGCCTTGGCTAGAGGTAAGGTGCTATTCCTGTAGCCGCCATCTTAGTCGGTCCACGGTTCCCTTTCGGAGCATCTCCCTGTCACGGTCTGGATTCTGTCTGCTTTTTTTGAAGCTGGACACATTGTGCCGGAAACAAAGTCCTGAGAGGAGGTGCCCAGGTGTAACTACTCACAGGGTCCTGGCTCAGTGCACACACAGGGTAACAGGGTAACCATCCTTTACTCTATGCTTCTAGGACTACCACAGGAATGTGTGTGTGTGTGTGTACATGAGTGTGAGGGTGTGAATGCTCATACATGTACATCTGGAGCCCATATTAGGAACTCCTGTCTAGTCTCTCTCTTTCTCTCTCTATTGTTCTCTGCTTTATGGAGCTGAGACAGGGTCTCTCATTGAAGTGGAGGCTCAGGATCTGTCTGTTGTCACTACCTCTGCACCCCAGCTCTGGAATTACAGGCACATGCAGCCATCCCTTTTGACATGGCTTCTCTCCTTCTACTCTCTCCCTTTTCAACTCGTCTTATATGGTATGCTAGATTAATTTTTGATAAGTTGGCCTTCTAAACAGGCCAACCTTCTGCTCCACTTCCTAGAGTGTGGAATGACTTGGAAATGTCCTTCTCTGTCACAGTGACTTCTGCATATCTAGTGCCCAATAAAGTTTTCCTGGGAGAATGAAGGACTCAGGAGTCCCCTGGCAGCATCGTATTTCAGTTCTAGTCTGGACTTGGTTGCCAAGTAAATCTGTAGACAAGTTATATAATGAAAATAGTTCGTGTTTAAACAGAGTGTCCATAACCTCTACTCTCTGGTCAACATGCCCCTGCATCTCTGAGTCAAGGCTCAGTACTCTCTGTTGAAGGACATCAGCCACCTTTTTCTCTCCGCCCCACCATTGGTACTTACGTGAACACCTCAAATCCCCATCCTGCCAGAGCAGTGAAGAGCCTGGGGCTCAGGTCTCGAGCTGGGTTCATGGCACAGCCAGTGTTGAGGCTCAGAGAACAAGAAAGGCTAATGATCAGGAGGCCAATGACAAGGGGCTCTAGACCTCTGGGGACCCCCATGTTTCTGGAGTCAAAAATGGCAAAGACAATCAGAAGGAGGAACATGGTAGACAGCACCTGGAGAGGGAGAAAATTTTCCAGAGTTCAGTCTGTTCTGTCCACCTGCTCACCCAAAGTTACCCCTTCGGTGAACAACCGGGATTGACACCGAGAGCCAGCTTGCTGCGCTTGCAGAGGATGTGGGTTCAGTTCTTAGCACCTGCGCAGCAGCTCACAACCAGGGAATCTGATGCCCTCGTCTGACCTCCACGGGCACTGCAAGTATGTGGTGCACATATATAAAGGCAAAACTCATCCACTTAAAATAAATAAATCTTTAAAAAATGAAACAGAGACAGCTAACATAGTGGACAAGAGTGTGGCTCTTCCATAGACTTGCTAGACGAAGATGCTGATGGAGTCACCCACTGCAGATTGGGTGCCTGATAAAGGGCACACAGCTGGTCCAGCTCCAGAGAAGACTGGTCCTCAACTGCCACACTATCTGCTAAGCTGCGAGTCAGTGACACTGAGGGACAATTGGCAAGAACAGAAAGTGAAGGAGGGTTGGCTTAGACTGGATGTAAAGACAGCAAGCAAGAAAGCAATAGATGAACATACAAAGGGAATGGATGGAAATTTCTTATTGGGGAATCTCAGGCTGATGAAATGAGTGGGAAAATATGCTTTGTAACAAAAGAAACAAACAGTGGCAAAGTTAGAAAAAACCCATCCTCCCGGTGTTTTCTAGTGCGCCTCAACACACTCCATGCTCTCGAGAGAAAATCCTGTAATAACTTATCAATATGCATCTAAAAACCAAAGTTCATGCATGCAGTTCAATAGGCCAAACTTAATACTATAGACATAATGAAACTATGGAAAATTATTTTAAAACATATACTTTTACTTAAGCATGGTTTGTTGCACTGGAAACTGGAAGCCATTGAAGCAAACATCAATAACAGAAGAGAGAACTGCATTACAGGATGTCTATTCCACAACTTACTATAGAGACGCTCAGAACTGTAAACAGCGCCAGCTGTTTATTGGGTGTCTATTGGGTGGCTCAATAGATAAAGGCGTTTAGTGCCAAACTCGATGACCTAAGCTCAATCTCCTGAGTCCACATGGTTGAAGAGGGAGCTAACACTCAAAAGTGGTGCTCTGGCTTCCACATGTGTGCTATAGCATGCACATCCACACTAAGTACACGTAAAACTTAAAAAAATACTATAAACATAAAACTATGTGGTAACATTTTAAAATGCTTATAACACTGAGAAATTAAATATTATAAATTCACTTTTTAAAAAACACACACAAAAATGAAAGCATTAACAGACACTCTCAAGTGGTGGGATTTTTCTGCTCTCTTCAAATTCTAAACTTTTAAGCAATCATTCTGTTTTGCAACCTAGCTGACAGCTGTGAGTCACTGTACACAGACTGTCTGTCACACCAAGTGTAGCTTTCTGGGGTGCATGGCATGTCCACCTCATGCATGCTCCATCCTGTGCTTCATCTCGCTGAGAAGCTGTAATGATCCCCATGATGTAAACCCTGCTATTCTCCTTATGATAGGCACTTAGGTATACGGAGGTTGAGGCATGTGCTCGAGGGCATGTAGGAGAGGCAGGTTGGGAGCGCAGCAGGTGAATTTATGGTTTAATTCCTTCAGTGTTTCACCAACTTTTCAAAAATACTCATAGTCAAGAGAATTTGTGTTTGGAGAGACACCTTCTCCAGAGAGCTCCGGTGCCCGCACAGCCCTTCCTGACCCTCTCTGGCAGAGTGGAATCCTGGGCTGGCCTAGTGCTTTTACGTGATCTCTTATCTCTGCCCTTGTAACCTTGAATGAACCACTTGTTTACTTATCAGTTGAACCTCTGACCCTGACATTTAGAGCAAGAACAGGTTGGAACCACAGGTGCCTAACAAATACACATTAGCTAACTGAACTAATTGGAAAAACGCTTGAATACAGTCAGGGTTCAACAACTAACGCAATTGAAATGACGTGACTCCAAAGCTTGGCCCTGGTGGTCAGCATCCCTCTTGGGTGTCGACTGACTGAATAGTGGTCCTTCCTTGGGCTAGTGGTTAGCAACAGAGATTTCTAATGTTTATTCTCTCTATTTAGCCATGTACAGTAACTGCTTAAAAGCTAGAATCTCTGGAGGAGAGGGCAACTCACTTCGCGATAAGGGTGCAGTCAAGTTTAGGTAAAGACAGAGCTTTACTGGCCAGGTACCAAGTCATTCCCTAAGGCACATGGCAAAACATTGTAAGGCTAGGATCAGGAGAGTATGGGACACTCTACAAGATTCCACCAGAACAGAAGAGAAAAGGAAGTAGAGAGGAAACGAGAGCTGGGCTAGGTGAAAATGTTGCTATTGTTGGCTGCTGTGGTGTGTTGGGTGCCACTCATGCCAATTTACCAGGAGGCCAAGCTAAGGCCTTAAAAAGCTCTGAGTTGTGCCGGGTGGGTGGTGATGCATGCATTTAATCCCAGCACTTGGAAGGCAGAGGAAGGTGGATCTCTGTGAGTTCAAGGCCAGTCTGGTCTATAAGAGCTAATTCCAGGACAGGCTTCAAAGCTACAGAGAAACCCTGTCTTGTGTGTGTATGTGTGGGGGGGACTCTGAGTTATTTGCACAAGAACAAACAGGAAGTCAGCAGCAGGCGTCACAACTTGATCTCCCCAGCAGAGTGCAGGGTTCTTAGAGAGGTGTGTGTTGCTGTCTTGCCATTGGGGTGCTGTGTCAGAGATGCCTCTGGGATCCCTGTGGGAAGGGAGGTGGGATGTGTCTCTGAGCAGCAGGAGAGTGTTACTCCAGGACTCAGGAGAGAAGGATGAATCGTGGCACCAAAGTCTCTGGGGCCAGAGGTCAGTTTTCGTCCTCGGATTCTCAGAACAACTGGGAGAACAAGACACCAGGCAGAAAGAAAAAGGAAAAAGACAGACAGTCCAGCGCAAGTCCAAGCCTGGAAAGTCAGTGTTCTTCCTCTGCTGCCTGCAGGGGGAGTGGTCCACATTCACGGGGGAGTTCTCTGGATGTCCTTCCAGAGCTCTGCTTGATTTCCATCTTCCCAAGAAGGTACATTTGACTGAATGGAGAGGCAAACCAGCTTCTAGAAACTCTGTGGGTTCTACCCATCCCCAAAGTCTATTCCAAGGTACCCCAGTTGCCATGTTTGCTCTGCAAATAAATGGCTAATTGCTCTGCGGTTTGGTGGGTGCTGCATGTTTAACAGTTCCTGTCATCAAGAGGCACCCAGATGGGGCTGCGGCAATAGACTTCTGGTACTTTGAAGCCAGAAAGATTAACGTTGTCCATCTCACTCTCTGTACTGTAGCTAATATCAGAGATATAAGGGCCCCGAACCTGGACAGCATCATGTCTTCAGCAACGTATTCTTTACCTTGTCTCTCCTCATACCATTTGCATACTGCTAAACAACCCTCCAGAGAGCTCCAGTTCCCCCACTGGTTAAACTTCTGCTTCCAATCAGCTCATCTACTATCAGAGATGGAAAGACCCTGAGAGGTAATGTGTCCCAAGCTGCCCACCATCCAGAGTTTATCATTCCCACAGTTCCCATAGCCTACTATTTAAAGGCCACCTGACTGGCCTCCAACGACTACTCCCAGCAACTTCTGTCCTCAGGAGACAAGGCCTTTATTTTGTATAGGTCAAATTTCCTGAAGCCTTCTTTATATGGGGAAAAAATGGCATAATTATAATTTCACTAGTGTATAGACTCGGCCATTCATCAAAGCATATTCTTTTTAATTTTTTTCATAATTTGTTATTCTTGTTTTATGTGTATTGGGTGCTTTGTGTCCATGTATATTTGTATGAGGGTGTCAGATCCCCTGGATTTGAAGTTACAGACAGTTGTGAATTGCCATAATACATATTCTTTGGCACTCCATGATGAAAAGCCTGCCTTCCATGTCCAATGCCCCAGATTCAATCCGGAATGCTACAAACAAAACTTGGGTTCTTTTTTTGTGATGCCTCCCAGGTAATGGGCTCTGTCAGGAGGAATATCTGATTATCTCCTTCTAGCCACAGAAGCCACTGATGGGGTTGATGAATGCACACTCAGTACAGGGTTCCTGTGAGAAGCACACGGCTTCAAAAGCTGCTGCCAACGTCGTGGGTGAAAAGCGGAAGGGATGTGTGGACTGAATTAGTGTTAAGAATGATAAGATTTTCCCATGAAGCACGGTGTCGAGCTGCAACAGAGATCTGGATCCAAGGAAGCAGAAGTCTGTTTGGGACGCATTGTGGATATTAATTGGAGCTAGTCATTCCTAACTTGGTTATTGTGAGATAAAAAGGAGAGTCGGATGCTCCTGAACTTCCAGATGCTACTGCATCTCAGCCATTGTTGCCCAAAAAGAGCTAACAGAACCTTAAAGCATTGCAATTTCCCCAAAGAAGATGATATTCACCAACATGTTGTCAGAAAGCCATTAAACAGAGAAGGGAAGAAGCCAATGATCAGAGCACCCAAGAGTCAGTGTCCTATTACCATATGTGTCCTGAATCACAAACGCTGACATGTTGCTCTGAGGAAACAATTCATTGAGGAAACCAAGGAGGAGACTGCAGAATGTGCCACACTTTTGACCAAGAGAATGAAGACATCCGAAGAACACGAGGAATAGATTGTTAAGAGACCTAGACTGTCCTAGCTAAGAGCTTCCAAGTTGGAGCCTAGTCAAAAATAAGTCTTTAAGAGTAATGAATACCGTATCAGATCTCACAAAACAATGTATTGTGCTTCCATCCAGCTTATTTGGAGGAATAAGGGACCCTTGAGCTCCTGGAAGGACTCTTTAATGTCCCTTCCCACACATATATTGTCCCCAAACCTTATCTAGACCCAGGGTCCCTGGCTTCCACTCACTGCCTGTGTGATGTAGAGGATGTTTGGCTTCCATTCACAGAAGCATGTCCCTGGATGAGTGACACCTGGAGACAAATCTAAAACTCAGCTACTTCCTTTGCTTACCATGCACACGTTATTACCATGGCAACAACCTTCCTTTTTCAGGCAGCTTCATCGCTCTGTCTTTCCCACTAAAATTCTTTCTACAGTCCTAGGACTTGTAGTTTCCCTTCTCCAAGTTACTAATGTGATGCTCTAGCTCCATTTTTTAAAGAAATTGCAGGGGGGCATGCTGGGATTACAGGCATGCTCATCACATTGGGCTATCACCTTGTTCTGTGGTCATTCTGTTCAACTACATTCTATCGTTCACAACGCATTTTCTCATATTATTTTTTAAAGCTCTTACAATGGACATGAAAAAGGCTGATATCTATCCACATGGTACAAGTGTAAAAAGGAAAGATATATTTATTTTATTTTATGTATATGTGTGTTTGCCTGCATGCATGTATGTGTGCCACACACATACAGTGCCTGTGGGGTCAAGAATGATCAGATCACCTGAAACTGGAGTTGGAGATAGTTATGAATGATCATGTCGGTCCTCGGTGGGAGTGGTCATTGCTCTTGTCCGCTGAGCTGTCTCTCCAGCCCCATACTCAGAAACTTAAGAAAAGCTCAGCAAGTCGCTAAAATCACTCACAGCGCTGGGGACAGGAAGGTTATCTCAGTTAAAGAATTCAGATTCTGAAGCCAGGTGATGGTGGTGCATGCTTTAATCTCAGCACTCAGGAGGCAGAGGCAGGCAGATCTCTCTGAGTTCAAGGCCAGCCTGGTCTACAAGAGCTAATTCCAGGACAGGCTCTAAAACTACAGTGAAACCTAGTCTCGAAAAACCAAACCAAACCAAACCAAACCAAAACAAAGAATTCAGATTCTGGATCTTGGAACTTTGCCATTTCCATTCAGTTACAAGTCTGTCAAGCCCCAGATACACTGGTGAGAACCCAGGGAGCTATCTATAAACATTTTTATCCTGACTTGTGAACAAAGTGGAAAAGAAAATGGTGAGGATATAGGGAAGTTTTCACAAACCAACCAATACAGCTATGGCTCTTTGTGATAGGGTCTCACTGTGCAGCCCTGCTTGACTTGCAATGGCCTATGTGGACCAAGCTGGCCCAAAACTTGTTGTGTCTCTGCCTCCCAAATGACAGGGGCGTGTGTTCCACTACAACCAGCAGAAGTTACTTCAAATATCAATCTAGTTGAGATGTTTATCTCCCTTGAGATTCTGATAAATCTCAGCATCATGAAGAGATAGAGCAGATTCATGACACCCCAGGCTCACCACCATATTTCATAGTTCTTGGGGGTAGTCAGAGATGCCATCTCTTGTAGCTAACACCCTTAGCGCCAAAGAGACACTAGAAGTGAAATGAACCTCATTTGCCTCTAACCCAGGCAGCCACTCTTTGTCTTGATCTCAACTAATATAAAACACCTATGTGCATTAAAAAGAAAGCTGAGAAACCTTCTAGTGGCATCAGCATCTTCAAGGGCAAATCACTGTCAAGAAAGCTCAGTTCATATAAAGACCTCTGTCTTGGAAACACAACCCTTCCTTTTTCACAGGCCTACAGTGCTCCAATATGCACCCCATGCCTATCCCCACGTTCTATCATGTCTTTCCACCTAAATCAGGGTCTTGTTGACTCTCCACTTACTTGGTCTATAAAGGCATTTGGCAGGGATATGAATGAAGCTGGGTATGTTGCAAAAATAAACGCTGTTGCATTTTCTCCCGCGACGAGCAATTTTCCATCAGCAAAGGCCATGAGTCCATCTATGGAAGACAGAGCTTGGGGACATTAGTGTTTTCTGGAAAGGGCTGAGGGAGGCTGTTCTGGTTGGCTTTAATTAAACTGTTGCATAGCCTCAAGTAACCTGAGAAGGGAGTCCCAACCAAGAGATTGCCTTGATTAGACTGGTCTGTCGATATGTACATGAGAGGCTGTCTTGCTTCTTAACTGATGAAGATGGGTCCATCTCACTGTGATTAGCATCACTCTTCAGGGAGGTTATAGGCTGTGTAAGAAAGCTGTGTGTGCCGGAGCCTGGAAGTCAGCAAACACGCCATGTCTTCTCTTTCCAGCTCTTGCTTGAGTCCCTGCTTTGACTTCCTTCCGGGATGCACCATGACCCAGGAGCTGAAATAAACCCTCTTCTAAACTGCTTTCGGTCAGGGTATTTTTATCACAGCAACAGGAATCAAAGCAGAACAGCTCTAAACTTGGACCAGGACCTTAGTCCGTGGGGTCTGAGAGAGCAACCTTTGGGGGTATGGGAGAAATTCTTGGAATTTTCAAGACTGACCTAAAACCAAAGTGTGACTTTAACTTTAACTAAGCGGAAGTCATAACTCCTAGAGTACTCTCCAGTGCCCCTAAAAATTTACTTCAGAACATGAATGTACTGGGATAATGAAGATGCTATCTATTGATGGCTGGTAGAGCCCTCAGAGCCGGGAAGCTGGATGTCACTGATACAGACAGTACCTACCCCATGCCTCTCTTTGCCGAGCTGCTGGCTCCCTGAGTTTCTGACCTCGGATCTCCCTTAGAAATTTAATTCTCAGAGAGACACTGTGGGGAGGGGCTTCTTGTACAACCTGTTTCCCTAGGGTTTGGATTATCAGTGTTTTCAGTTTGCCATTCAAAACACTCTAAGGCTCATCTTGGGTTGAATGCAACCAGCTTGTATGTTACAGCTGACGCCACAGGATCCTAAGATTCCTTAGCCTTAAGGACTTTGGGAGCCCCTCCTTTTCCAGAGAAGAAAACTGGGCCTTCATGATCTAATGACTTATATGTTTACTTTATTATTTCTTCTGAGACAAAGTTTCAAATCACCCAGGCTGGCCTTGAATTTGCTTTTTAGCTGAGAATGGCATTGAATTCCTGACCATCCACCCTCACGGGTGCCAGGATTATGGGAATGTGCCCTTAAGCTTCATTCCCAGATGATTATTTAAGCCACAGAGCTCCTCACTGCCACAGTCTCAGTTCAGTCCTGGGCCTGTGATGTCCAGGACCACATCTTTCTTCAGTCGGCTCCTGAGCAGATGCTCATACTATGGGCTAGACGGGGCAGAGACTCCCACCCAGCCTGCTTCTTCCTTAAAGGCGTGTTCCCAGATGCATAACCTGAATATCTCCTGGGCCACAGCTTTCATGACCAGGCAGGATCCCATTTGTAGTCAAGTCAGAGAAAGCAGCAGAGAGAGCCCACTGGCATTTTGCCTCTGTTCGTAGTGTAGCATATTGTAGTGCAGGGAGGACCCGAAATTAGGTTCTTAGAAGTTGTACCCTCCCATTTGAAGATTCACATTTTGGGACCTAGAAAGGTGACTCAGCAGTTAAGAAGTCTAGCTGCTCTTCCGGAGAGGACCTGAGTTTTGAGCCCCAGAACCCACACAGTGTCTCACTATGGTCTGTAACTCCATTTCCAGGGAGTTTTCTTTCTTCTGGCCTCTGTGATAATCCGATGCACAGGTGGTGCACAGATATATGTACAGGCAAAAACAAACAAAGACCCATACAGATAAACATCTTTAGATTAAAAAGCTGATACACAGATTTTATTAAAAGACTTCATAAATTGGCCCTGTTGATAACATGGGCCTCATTGCCCCAACGCTTCCTGTTCTTGCTCAGTCTCATGCTTCCTACCAAGTTCAGGCTTTCAGAGGATGCTTCACTAGCCCTCCAAATCTTTGGACTCCGGGTCAATACTCACCATGGTAAATGCCAAAGACAGTTGCAGCCCCCACAAAGGCTCCTAAAAACTGGGCTCCCACATAAAATGGGAACTTGAACCACTCCATTCTTCCAAAGACACACATTGCAAAAGACACAGCCGGGTTGATGTGGCCTCCTGCAAGGAAGAGGAGACAGTCAGGGGGTAGAGGCCAGAGAGTGGGCATGGGGAGAGGGAAACAGAAACACAGATGAGTGTTGGGGAAACTAATGATCCATGGCACTATTAAAGATGGTTTAGAATCTTTAGCTGTATGAAAAGGGACTCAGACATTAAAAACTTGTGTAAGCAGTTCGTTTTTTTTTAAAGTGGTGTTTTAGCCATCAATTAAGGAATACCATAAGTAATTTGATACGAACTATTACCGTGCATATATATTTAAGGCAACTGAGGCTTAAGACCATATCTAACAATTCTTCAGCACATTCATAGAAGCTGTAAAGGAATTCTCCACACTGAGAAGGGGTGATGTCCTGGCAGATGCCCTGTGCCTGCCCCTGAGGCTCTAGTTAACTGGTGGGAAAACTGCAAAACAGGAGGAGCTTTCTCCCAGCTACGTGGTCAGCAAGTGGAAAAACCAAAATTCAAGTCCAGCTTTATCTGAATTTAAGAGCTGGGTTCCCTTGATCCCCTTCTAGACTGCCTTGGGACTGGAGAGGAACTTGGAACTTGGAACTCATACTGCTTTTGCAGAACACTCTGGTTTGGTTCTCAGCACCCACACCAGATAACCCCCAAAACCGTCTGTAACTGCAGCTCCAGTGGATCTGATGCCTTCTCCTAGACTCCGCGTGTACCTGCGCTCACATGCACATACTCTACCCCACCCACACAAGTACACATAATTAAAAATAAATCTCAAAGCAAGATTTATCTGCCTTGAAAACTAAGTGTGTGTACACATATGCACATCTGAGCTTGCAAGGTGGTGGGGCACAAGGTGAACCTGGAGAACATGGACGACATTTCATGTGGAAGGGGATTAAAATCATTTCCGAAGAGAGCACATTGAAATGTGGGCGTTCAGGGGAGATGTGAACAAGAGAGATGACAACAAACCTGATGGTGGTTATGAGGGCGATGACAACCCTGAACCCTGGCCCTCATCAGAACCATGGCCATGCCCGTTCTAGAAGCCCAGCCCCCACAGAGAGCCATGCTTTTCCCGAGTCTCCTGTTCAAGGTTGACAAGTAGGTTTTTGGCTGCTAACCCCAGAGGCAGCCACCCCTGCCTTTCACCTCCAGTGAACATGAGCAAGGAAATCCCGGTATGTCAAAGCATGGGGGATCTCCCGGATCCTTATAGACACTTTAACTGTGGGGTCTTGCTTTTGAGGTCTCCAGAAGAAAGCTTAGAAGGAAGATTGGAAACGTGAATTTGGACAAACACAAAGATTGATGAGACATTCCTGGAGCTGGGCTGCATCTGTTTCTCTTCTCCCTGTGGCTGCGAGGAGAGTCCTTTATTTAACACGGGGCGGGCTAGGGATGCAGGGACTAGGATCCAACAGCAGCCCACAGAACAAATGAAACGCCTTACATTTATAGACTTTCGAGGGGAGGAGGATCTGAGCCTAGAGGAGTCTCTGAGCTTAGAGGAGACGAGCCTGTGCACAGCAGATGAGCCAAGGCACTGGATAGGATAAAAGACGTGGCTAATCCACTCCAACAGGGCAGAATCTATAATCTCATACAGGCAGCCTGGAGGCTCTCACTGTGGAAGGATAAGAGGGCCATAAAAAGTCATCTCTGATCCAAACCATCCCTGTGGAGTGCCTTGCCAGGTAAGGCTTCTAGAACAAACTCTCCTAAGATAAAAATTCCCGCAGGTAGGTTTACATTTTGCAAGCACCCTGGAAGCCCAATTAGTCTCAGGTCTCATGTGATGTCAGCCACTTTGTAGGCATTTTAGATAAGAGAGCGGAAGAAATAATCAAGGGACTTTGTTTAGTTGATGTGCATGACAGAAGTCCAGGGACAGTTGCTTGGGGGTCAGAGAGGGTAGATCTGGGAGGGAGCTTTGGACATGAATGAGGAGAAGGGGCTAAGGGGTGACAGAGGGTCCGGAAAGGGACAGGGAGCAAAGGCTGGAGTCCAGAGGGCTACAGAGCCTACCTCCTACAGACCTGCGTGGTTTACCGCAAGGCCAAGGCCAGAGCAGCGTAGTGGAAAGAACATGAGCTCTAGGGTCAGGGAGTCCTGCTCTCAAATATCCACTCTGCCAAGGTTGCTTTGATGACTGTATTAGTCACGTAAAGAACCCCCTCGGGGAGCAGTCGGGGTCCAACAGGCTCAAGATGTGGGTCTTGGGTGAGCTACGTGAACTTTTCAAAGATTCTGTTCTAGGTGAACTCCCTATCACCCTTACACAGTTCTGTGATAGACACCTTACAAATTTCCTGTCACTGAGCAAGGCTATTCTGTTTTTTCAATTAATTCACTTAGAAATTATGTCAAAAATAGTCACCAACAGGGTCCACTGAGATGCCTGAGAGGGTACAGTAGAGGCACGAAGCCTAACAACCTGAATTCAATCCCTGAGACCCACATGGTAAAAGGAGAGAACTTAAGGACTCTATGTGCATTCTATGACATATATGCATGCCTACACACACACACACACACACACACACACACACACACACACACACACTACTTTAAAAAAATAGTTACCACCAGGCAGCCTACATGCTTTGAGTAGCATATTACATAATTACGTGTGTATAATAATTAGGTGTGTATAACAATAAGCTCCGATTGGTTGAATGGCACATTCACAATGGAGGAGGATACTAAAACTCCTTTATAGAAAATTAATTCTTTATATTTAAAAGTGAAAGGCCACTGACTTCACCAGTCTGTGGTGACAAAATGGGACAGCATTCATATTCATGTCTGGCATGCCTTGGTTGTTCTTGGAGTCCTCAAAAAGAGCTTCCCCTGCGGCTACAAACCATGTTAGGTACAGCCATCTTGATAGAGACACCCCCCCCCCCCCCGCACAATTGTCTTCTCTGATTCCTGCCCGCGACCACTGAAGCCAAGACTTATGCTGCGGTCTGTGTAGCTTCATGGAACACGCATGCGTTGCCCCTGCACATTGCTGAGTCACAAGTCCTCAGAGCATGAACTACGCTAGTCCCACGCAGAGTCATGACACGTGTTCCCATCCCAACCCAACACTATCACTCGCCAGCCGGGCTCATCCACCACTGTATGGGGTTTGGGTGCTCTCACAAACAACTTGGTCAGAGTCGAAGCCTGACCTGGAAATGCAGCCTCTAGTCATTTCAGATTCTCATTCCGAAGAGCTCGGGACTCAGTCCCCAGGCCAGAGGGGACAGCTCTTTGCCATCTTCCTGCTCCCTCTTATCCTTCCTCCTGCTGCTTTCAATCCTTTCCCCCTACAATGACTCCTCGAGCCTCCCAAATGTAACAATGAATGCAAAGATCCATGACCTGCAGTGGCAGTGGCCAAGGTCAATTACACTAACAGAATCTGAGGGGAATTAGTACCATATGATTGCTTGACAGTGTTCAGCTCAGGATATCATGCAGGCAAACTACTCTAAACTAGTGGTTCTTAACCTGTGGGTCATGACCCTTTAGGGTGTAAGGACCCTTTCAGAGGGATCACATACCAGATATCTTACATATCAGATACTTACATTCTAATTCATAACAGTAGCTCCACTATGGCTCAGAACACCTGGTCCTGTCCCAGGTTCTAAGTTTCCAGACTGCATTCAATAGCATACCATCATTTTGCTTTGCCGAGCCCTGTAATTGGCCACGGTCGACCTGGCCACTAGGGAAGAGCCAGGTTAATGTTTTCTAGCTCAGGCACAGACTGTCATGAAGACAGAGTTGACATTGCGAAAGACCTAGCCTCTCTGATTATAGCTGATAAAGATCCAAGAACTTGCCATTGCTGGTGTGGCCTTTGCCAAGCTATTCACAGGCTTATCTGGGAAATGGCTCCCAAGCATGAGATTCGTAAAATAAGAAGTATTGATTGCTGGAGTATACCCTGCAGTAGCCAGGGATGGCTCAGATATGAGTGCTAACCCCATCTGGTCCTTGTTCAATGTTGCCTTCACATAAGCCACTTAACTATTTGTTGGCTTTTAAATTTTGTCATCTATCAAAAGATATCCATACATATTCTTGCAGGATTATAGAGACATAATACATAAGGTATGTAAATCAGCCAATCCCGCTAGTACATTGGGACAGTTGCATTAATAGTTGTAATAATGACATATACTGCATACCAGAGACACCGCCAGTGACATAAATAGCCATCACAACTGCTGTTGCAAATCCCATATTCATAGTGACTATTCCACCAAGATGACCTCGGCTGAGGACTGCTTGGGCAACAGAGCCACACCCCAGGACCTAGAAAGAAAGGACAAAATAACTCATTAAAGAAGTGGTCATGACCACTCTCTAACACAGTATACATTCACAGTGTGTATATATTTAGTAAAGTCATGAATTCAGCTCCCTTCAACACCCAACAATTCAAATTGTAATGCTCCGGCTGTCTCCATGGCAACAGATAAGTTGCAGATGAATCTTACTAGGGGTGTGTGGTGTAAACACCTTGCCTACAACTTATAAATCAGGTAAGTTCACACCATGGTCTAGATTCTTCTCAAAGGGATGAAAAATAAGGATTCTAGTTGGATGTGTAAAAATTCTACACAAATACCTTCTTGCTAGTGATTCTATGTGACCATTACAAGGAGGCCCCTGGCGAAATAGAATTCATATAATTCATATATGAGACATTCAACACTTACAGGGTGATTTCAGCTTACATCTCCCCAAAGGCAGAAGGCCGATGGTACACAGGTGGCCTTTGGATGTCCCACTGTCCCCAGTTCAAGGATACATTCACTCATCTTATTTGTAAATTGCTGGACTTAGGAGATACAGAAGAGTCTGGCTTCTGGAGAGAAGCCCTTGATATGCACGGCACATGTAAGACTTTGGCTTGATCCACAGCCTTGGCACCGTACACTAAGTAGTAAACCAAGCTGCAATCACAGTTGCTCTTTTCCATTTTAGATCACCCCGGCTCCAGCTATAGCCTGCCGACTGATCATCACCTCCTCTCCAAATCTCTGTCATCAAAACTGTCAGAACTAAGCCAACATTCCTGTCTTCATTTTTACTTTGTAAAATCAAGTCAATTGAACGCTGAGTACAACTTCTGAACTAAGCAAGTAGCACTGAATAACATCCTCAGAAAGTAAGGTTGGACATTATTGTCATCTGAGATAAACTACTCTAGACAACCAGGGCAGAAGCGACTGCTAACTCTCCTAACAAGAGTCTTCCTCTGGGCAGAATTCCACTGCACAATCCCAATTTGGGTCTAGGGGGAACACAACAGCTTGGTCTGACTTGTCCCCAGAGAGGTCTGTGACCTGTCTGACATCACTTGGGTAAATCTCTCCCTTTCTAGCCTGGATGTTGAAATCGCCTCGGGATTGGGAGGTGTGGGGTGGGTATAAATCATACTGCTTGCTGAGGGGGAGGGGCAGGAGGAAAGGTGAGCCATTAGGGGCTTCCATGACCCTCATCAGAATTGCCACCCAGAAGACTGCAGCACAGATATGTAGTATTATCGTTGTTTTTGTTTGTGTGTGTGTGGTATATGTGCATGTGTATGCAGGCATATACACATGAGTGCAGGCATACACACTTGTATATGTGAGAACACATGTCTAGGGTCTTCCTCTATTGCTTTTAACCTTACTTGCTCCCACCCTGAACCCGAAATTTATCATATTTCAGCTGAACTGGCTATTAAGCTCCTGGGATCCGCTTGTCTCTGCTCCTCAGCATTGAGGTCCCAGGCATGCGTGGCCATTCCCTGCTTTTTAACGTGACTGCTGGGATTTTGAATTCTGGTCTTCCTGCTTTCATGCAAGCACTCTTACCCGCTGAGCCATTTGCCTAGACCCAGTATTGTGTCTTGTTGGATATTTCTGTTGTAGCCTGAACAACAATGAGGACAATGGTACAAACACAGTGTGTTATTTAACCTCCAAAAAGAAGAGCGCTATCCTGTGTGGTGGTATAGGCTGAACTGTAAGAATGTCTTCCCTAGTCTCAGACCCAAAAGGAAGCCAGTGCTTATATTTATCCTGCTTTTGTTTGCCTAGTCTATCTTAATTACATTAATTACATTGTCTACTGGGATTTTTCTCACCAAACCTAACCTGAAATTCAGTTCTTCTGTAACATCCAATTATACTGTGTTCAGTTTACAATCAATTCTGTTTGGTCTTGGTTTCTGTACCTAGAAAACAATCTTTAATCTTTCTTTCCAGACCAACATCCAAGCATATGCTAATATTTGCCCTTAATGTTTGTTTCCTACACAGTTCTGCATATCTCACAGACACACAAGGTCACAATGTTATCTTTAAAAACATAAGCAGAAGACAAACAAACAAGAACTGGGGCTAGAAAGATGACTCAACAGCGAAGAGCCCTTTACTGCTCTCATAGATCTGTGTTCAGTTCCCAACACCCAAGTAAGGCAAGGTTATGACACCTCTAACTCCAGTTCCAGAGGATCTGCCACCCTCTTATTGTCTCCAAGGGTACCTACAGGCACACGACACACACACACACACACACACACACACACACACACACACACGTGTGTGTGTGTGTTTAAATTTAAAGTTTTTAATTAAAAATTTTAGTTAACATACAAAACGGTGGGTTTCATTATTAAAATTTCATAATATATCATTGTACTTTGCCACCGATTGTCCTCTATTTCCCCCAGATAATGCCCCTCTACTTTAAAGCCGCAGGTAGGAAGACATGTTGAATAGAAGATAGACAGACAGACAGATGCTAGGTGGATTAAGCTCCTGAGAGGAAACATGTAATATTTTGTCTTCCACCTTCTTGACAAGACCTAGCTTGTGTCCAATCTAGTTCCCTATCCAGGGGAGCTGGACAAATCCCTCAACCATGTAGGAGATGGATGGTGTGAAAAAGTTGTGAATCTGCTCTTTGTTGTGTCCTTCACTGTACATCCAAAGCCTCTTTCATCTTTTATTTATGCTCTTGAGCTATCTGCACCAGGCATTCTCTCATGAGCTCAACCTGCTCAATTGCTATCCTACAAAGAACAGCATCTTCTACTGGACACAGTCCCCGTTATTAGACTGGAAGGTCAGAAAATCATGTGAGCATTGAGTTCTACCTCCACAGAACTACCTCGAATTTAAGATTATGTTTATTTTGTGTCTGAATCCTAGATTCGGGCAGGATTCAGCAGGATATTTCATTTCTGTTCCACTCAAATTGTCTTAAGACATGAGTTGTTCCTGCATTCAGATGTCTGCCTTGTGGGTACTGGCTACCCACCGAGGCTTTAACCAGAGTGCAGACCAGAGTACCTGCTGCATGCTGATGTGCTTCTTCATAGCATGCTGGTTGGATGTAAAAGTTGAGCATCATGTAGCCCCAGAGTCTATGTTCTTAATTCCTATATCATGTTCCTTGCTGTCTGTACCGTTTTGATCATTCTGAACTTGATAGCAGACAGAGGGGATCTACTATAGACATTCTTCCAATACTATACATACTTACACAGAGGAAAGGGGATCCATGTGTTAATTTTTTTGGGTCTCTGCAATAGTTTCAAACATTTTCATGTCAAATAATTAGAGTATTGCCTTTTCTGTTGGGTAACAAAGCATGCTTTGTGGTTGTGTAAATGAACACAGCAAAAACATGGCCTCAGGCTTGCTTCATGGGTATTTTCAGTAAAGGTTCAAAGGAGATAACACTAATAAAAGCACTATTTAAACAGCAAAGGGCGATCGTAAGTGGAAGCACAGGATATTGGTGTTTTAAGTGTAAACTCCAAAGGAAAGCTAAGGGTCAGTGAATTCAAATGATTGCATCCATGAACCTCACCATGAGCTCACATCCGGGCAAAACCAAGCAGGGTGAGGACACACTCATGACAGGCGGCAGAGGAGTTGCTGTACCACCGCTAGTCATTGAATCAGAGTTGCAAAGATTCAAGTGGTTTGACTTGTTTTCAAAGACGTTCCAAAGACTGGTTCTTTTATAGTGTGAGTTTGTTTGTATGTTTGGCGTGTGTGTGTGTGTGTGTGTGTGTGTGTGTGTGTGTGTGTATGCTATTGTTCTGGGTAGGAAAGTGACAATACCCATAGTTTGCTTAACTTTCTGTCTATAGCTTCTAGCCAGGGTTCCACCTTCAACCTCTTGTCACCCAGCTATGGAGCCAGAAGGCACGCTACAGATGTGCTGAAAGTCTCTCTGCACATCCAGGCATCACTGCACATCCAGGCTCTCCATTGTCTTGTCCCATGAAGCCCAGTCCCCTTCTGCCCAACACAGATCTACATGCCAGCCACTTTGAGCCCTTTGAACTGTTATCTGCCGGTTCAGTCTCTACGTGCCTGCTCACAGGGTGCTTTTCTCTTCACTTGCTCCTCCAAACCCAATCTATTCTTCATTCTGAACTAAAATTCCTGCTTCAGGAAGTATCCCCACCTCCTCTGAGTTCTCATTGGCCTTTTGAAACACTTCTAAATGCTGCAGTCCTGACATGTTATATTATCTTGTGACGTTCCTTCAAGACTACTGTCCACCCAGACATAGAGCCCAGTTGGTACAGTGATTATCCAGTGTTTACAAAGCACTGAGCTCAGTCTTCAACACCACATGAAGGCATGGTGATGCCCACCTGTAATCCCAGCATTTGGGAGGTGGGAGTAGGAAGATCAGAATTTAAAGAGAGTCTCATCTACCTATCAAATTCAAGAACAGCCTGTCATATGTGAGACAATGTCTCAACACCTTCCCCCAAAAGACCATACTGCTATTATGTCTACCAGCACTGCTTATTCCTCTAATATTCATATTAAGACAATACTTGATGAAAGATTAAGATATTTAAACACAAGCAAAAAAAAAAATAAAACTTTTTTTTTCTTGTAATCATGAGTACAGAAAAGAGGAAAAAGTGAATTTGTGGTAAGATGATTAAGGAAAAAGAGGTGTGATTTCTAAGAAATATTATTTAAAGTTCCAAAAGTTACAAGTTGAGTCACAACCTTGTGACAAACCCTTTACTGGACACAACCTGGACCCTAACATGATGGAGTGATTTTCATGAACTGCTGGGGGCAGTAAAGAGTAAGAGGGAAGACTCAGCCTTCGTGATTTTGTTATTTTTGTTTTTGATCCTTCTCAAGGGTCTCATGTATTTATCACTTCCTTTAAAGTGTAAAACAAGATTTCGTGGGCTGGAGAAACAGTTCAGTGATTAAAGCACTTGCCACTCAAGTTCAGAACCTGAGTTCTGAATCCCAGAACCCACAGAAAGC